CCCTACCTTCTCAGCCTGAGCCTCAAGAGACTTGAGATTGTTGGTGACATTCTTCAGCTCCTCCTCCAGCTCGGAACATTTACTGCGGGGTTTCGTAAAGAAAGAGGGGAGGAAAAAAACAAAACAAAGGAAAAGAAGTGGGAGGAAAAGACAGGAGAGAGGAGAAGTGAATCCATGTGCAGGGGAGAGCAGGGAGTTCTTCAGGAGACTGTCTGCGATCAGACGGGATGGGACCTTGCTTTGAAGCACTTCTGCAGAAAGCAAGTTCCCTTCTAGCCTCCAAGGTCATGTTTTGGATACGCTGCCAGCGCGGGCACCAGGCAGCCAGCGGCACAGCCGGGACCTGGCGTCCTCACGTAGAAGCTGCACGTTTGTTCTGCTGAAAGGAGGGAAGCTGCTCCGACAGACAGATGGGCAGCTGCCACCACTCAGACAGGACAGAGGACAGAACATTCCAGGAGAGAGAAGGACGCAATGAAGCTGAGGGAAGGAGCGCAGCGAGAAGTCCACGAGAGTTCTGGTTTAATGGCTCGAGGAGGGAACGGTTAGTACCTTTTCTTCGGCAACAGACAGACACTTCAAGTTCTGGTCCATCACTCTGATCTGCTCCTGCAGCTCCCGGACACGACTGTTAGTGACGTTCACATGATGGCACAAGCCAGGTGGGGGCAAGGGTCAAAAGGAGCACCAAGAACACAACACCGCAGAGCCAAAAAGGGGCAGGGGAGAAACACAAAGAAGTCATGGTCACGACATGCGTGTCTGGGCAGGAAGCACGGCGCCGCTGCTGCACACGTGCTGGCTTTGTTAGACGAGGCCCGCAGTACAGAACGGCCCTGGGCAGCTCCTGGAGGCGCACGAAAGGAGCCTGAGCGGCACATCTGCCACCTCTGCTCCAAGCAGGAGCTCAGCTCGCTACTCAGCAGTGCAAACATCCCCGTGATGGCTGGAAACGCTGAAGGAGGCCAGAGACCAGCCTCAGCCCCAGCTCCGCTCTCTGCTCCCGGGGAGGAGCCCTCGGCCATTTTAGGCTCAGCGCCACGTGCCCCACAGCGGTGTGTGCGCATCCAGTGACCAAACGCAGCGCTGGTGGCTACGAGCCTTGAAAGCCCGACCTCAACAGCTACAGAGGCACTCGTGCAAAGGTCTGAACATCTCTGTGCAACGCGAGGCACGGCGTGTTGGTTTTGATGCACGCAAACTCCACGTTCTCAGTGGATCTCATCCTGTTCCGAGCAGGAGATCAGCCCCAGCTCTTCCATTTGGAGATCTGAGCCCACCCTGTACTTCAGGCCTTGTGTAACAGGGTTAGAAATGCCATCGGTGTTAGTTCCCATGCACAGCTACACGTGCCAGTCACATGCAAGCAGGTTACTCACGACTCCGCGAGCTCAGCTCTCTCCTCAGTACGCTCCAGGTCTCCTTCTATGATCACCAGCTTCCGAGCAACCTGGGAGGGAGAAATCGGAGTTCACAGCAAGGAAGACAAACGCCGCTCTGGTCGCTGCATAAAGGGAATGCCTGCAGGGGCCACTGGCGTTGCCAGAGTCGCTGGCTGGGGGAAGTGAGCCAGGTCCCCCACACTGAGAGCACAGGAAGAGCAGCCACCTCTCCTGGCCAGCATCAGCAGCACAACAGCACCCAGGGCTCTCACCTCTTCATACTTCCTGTCTGCCTCCTCTGCAATGTGCTTGGCTTCCTTCAGCTGGATCTCCTGCAGCTCCATCTTCTCCTCATCTTTCAGAGCTCTGTTTTCAATGACTTTCATGCCTCTGCCCGAAAAAGAAAGAAAGCACATCAGAGAGCGATGACTAAAACAAACCCCCACCAACCGGCAGCAGAATGCACACCAGAGAGCAAACAGCATTCCCAGCCGCAGCGCTGCCCTGCTGAGCCACCACACCTCCGAGGGCAGAGGACGGCACGGGAAAGCAGCGCTGCTGTGCTGCTGCTCAAAGTTAACTGCTGCTTTCAGCACGGCTCCAGCAGCTCACTGCGCTCCTGGAGCACAGGAAGCACTGCTGGGAACAACAGGGCAATTCTGTGCAGGCAAGCCAGGCGCTTCCAGGCTGAAGCACAGGGAAAGCCGAATCTTGATGGCAGACAGCAGCCAGGTCAGGCTGCACGCTACAGAGCGGAGTGCATCAGCCAACTGGAAACGCTGCTGGGACCGCTCCCCTCCAAACCACGTTCCCAGCTCAGGAGCTCCCGGCCAGAAGGGAGCTTGCAGCAGGAGGGGCTCCCCCACCTCCCCCTGCTCCCTCAGGAGAGAACCCAGCAGCCACGGCTCCCCGAAGGCCAACAGCTCCGCTCCAGCAGCAGCAGCAGCAGCAGCAGGTCCTCCCACACCCGGCCTCGCCGTGGCACCGGCTCCCCACCTTCGGAAGCTGAAGATGCCGACAGCATGGGGCCCCATCCAGGGACACCCCAGCATGGCTGACAGCACAGCAGCCTCCCCTGCTCACCTTTCGCTTTCATCTGCGGCCTTCTCAGCCTCCTCCAGCTTCTGCAGAGCGGTGGCGAGGCGCTCCTGGGCCCGGTCCAGCTCCTCCTCCACCAGCTGGATGCGGCGGTTCAGGGATGCCACCTCTGCCTCAGCCTGGGGGGAGCAAGGAGGGCAGCTGAGCCTGCAGCCAGCAGCACAGGGCAGCTGGGGGACAGCAGCAGCACGGAGGAAGCCCAAACCAAGCGGAGGAGCTGCATCCACTTTCTTACACCGAGCCCTGCATTCCGAGATAAGCCTTGCAACATTTCACACGGGCTCACGCACGCAGCAGCCGCTGCCACACAGGTTTCTCGCCTGTCAGCTCGAGCTGACGTGACAGTTTAAGCCATAAACACTAAGTGGATGACTTACACTAATGTCTCTTCTGCACAGCTGCTGTAATCCTGCCAGGCCATCAATCAGCCCTATTTATCCGCTGCTCCAGCGCGCCGTGACAGCTGGCATTTAGCACCAAGTCAGTTTACTCCTGCGATCTGGACGCCAGCGCTGCTCAAATCCGAGCCCCTCTCAACAGCAACTCGAGGAAGATGATCGGCTCTGTGCTCAGAGCTCTGCCTGCCCCACTGAGGGGCCACAGCGCAGCTCTGGGGCTCCGGCCAGCAGCACTCACTGACCCCACAGAGCAGAATCCTCACCAGGCCCAAGCCGGGCTGGGAGCCACTGCCCAGCAACACGTGCCAGCACGATGTTGGGAGCCCACGGGCTCAGCTCATCGCCCAGGGTGCGACCACAGCAGCGACCGAGGTTTAATGAAGCAGCAGAGCTCAGAACCGCCACCCCCAGAGCTCCAGCAACACCCCCAGCAGCCACATCTGCTCCACAAAGCCCTGAGCGGAGCCTGCAGGCAGCCTCAGAGGGACACCGATGCCCCAGGGACACCCCAAAAACGGGCAGCACCCCCTTCAACGGGATTTCCACACCGCTACCAAAATGGAGGCGGTCACAGCCATTTCCCAGCAGCGATCCACCGCAGAGCCCAGCACACAAACACACACCAGGCACGCACGAAATACCCCAGCCTCCAGCAACGAGGCCACGCCGAGCCCACCGGCCATGCCCAAGGAAGGAGGCCAGAGCACGGCCTGCCACAACCCACACCCTGCCTCTGCCCCCCGGCAGGATGCAGGAGCACTTTTGCTTTCGGCTGCAGGCACACCCTGCTCTTCACCATGGAAACCCGCAGCACTTCGATGCACAGCACACCGACCCAGAGCTGCTTCGGAGGAGGAAGTGCTCTGCTCAAAGAGGAACCAAATGACACAGAGCAGGAGAGGAGCAGCTTTCACACCGGTGAACCTCCTCCCAGCAAACGGAGGCACGTCGCTCCGCCATCCCCAGCCCCCCTTCCCCTCCGGGCCGCCTTCCTGCAGGCAGCGCTTCTTCATCCCACCGGGCAGGACGGAGCCCGGCCAGCGCAGCAGTGACACCTCCGGGCAGCCCCACGGCACCTCCCATCACCCCCCATTTCCTTCAGGAAGCGAAGCCTGAGTCAGAAAGCCCGGAGAAGGGAGCCAAGCCAAGGGCAGAGCCGGCCAGCATCGCTTCCCAGGGCGCGGGGAGCAGAGCCGGGGCTGCGGGCTGAGCACGGCTCCGCTCTCACACAGCGGCGCTCCGGTGCGAGCAACGCACGTCGCCATGACAACGCCGCAAGTACGGGAGAATTCCTTATGTGGCTGCAAAGAAAAGCAGCGCGGGGCTGGGAGTGGCCCGGCCGCACCGCACAGCTCCGCCGTCAGCCCCGAACGTCGCTCCGCCGCCATTCCTTCCGGGCACCGGAGCGGCTCCGCAGAACTCCACGGCCCCCCGCGCCCCACGGCGGCACCCCAAAACCGGGACGGAGCTGCGGACCGGCCGCTCCCTGCCGACCCCCGCCCGCCGCCCGGCCCTCCCCGGTCGCAGCGCGGCGTTCCCTCTCGGCGCCCCGCACCCCGCCGTGTCCGCACAGCGCGGCCGGCTCCGCCCTCCCTGCCGACCCTTACGGGACCCTAAATCCCGCTTGAGGCGGCGCAGCCCGGAGCGGAACCCGGAACGGCACCGCGGAGCCCGGACGGAGCCCCCAGCGGTACCGCCCTGATTTTAGGGGCAAAAAAAGCGAAGCTCGGTGACAGCGGCCGACCGCAGCCCGGCCCCACGGAGCCCCGCCGGGACCCCGCAAACCCCGCCGCCCCCCCCCCCGACCCCCACCTGCTCTCGGTTCCGGCGCTCGGCCTCCACCTCCCGCTGCAGGCGGTCCGCCCGCTCCTCGGCATCGTCCGCCTGCTGCTGCAGCACCTGAATCTTACGCTTCACCGCCTCGATGGTGGTGGCCCCCGCCATGATCCCCCTCCGCTCCGCGCCGCGCCCGCCCCGCCCTGAAATACCGGAACCCGCCGCCCCGGCCCCGCCGCACGGGATGTGACGTCACTTCCGCCCGCGCTCCCCCCCTCCTCTCGGCCGCGGCCGGAAGCGCCGCGCCCCTCTCGCGTCGCCTTGGCGACGGCGCGAACCGCGCGGCCTACGGCGGGCCGGGGCCCGAACCGAGGGAACGGGAGGGGAGCGGGCGGCGGGGCGGCCGGGGAGGTTCGAAGCGACCTGCGGGAACGGCGACAGCCCGAACCGGACCGGGCCGTGCCGCGCGGGGCTGTGGTGGCCGCCCTGCCCAGGCCGTGCGGGGCATCGGGGGCTGCCGTGGGGCAGCGCGGCCCGGCCCGTAGGTGAGCGTGGCCGCCGGGCCGCGACCCGCACCGCAGCGCCTGCCCACCCCGTAGAGTTGCCAGCGCTGCTCTGCCCCACGCACCGGGCCCTCTGCAGGCCTTATACGGGCACAGCGGCGGCCGTGCATTCCCGGGGGCTGAGCTCAGCCCACCCCCCCCGCTGTGCCCCCATTCCCAGTTCAGCTCTGCTCCAAACTCTCTGCTGGCAGTGCTGAGCCTCCCCTCACCTCACCTCCCCTCACCTCACCTCCGATCCTCTCACCTCCCCTCACCCCACCCCACACCACCCAATAGGGACTGGCAGCCCCCAGACCCCCACCCAGCCCCCCTGCACACCCCCCTATGAGCCCCAGCCCAATGATCCCCGTGTTATCACTCATGCAGGGCGTGCAGACCTCCATCAAAACGTGACCGAGCGCTGCGAATGGAGCCCGGCAATGCGGGGAGCACAGCACAGCGGTGCCCTCTGTCACCTCCCAATGAGGGACAGCACAACCATGGGGCCGACGAACCCCCAGGACCCCAAATTGTGGTGCTCAGAGGGAGAACAGCCCAGCAAAGGGTCACGCAGGTGCTTCAGCGTCCCCACCCTGCGCTGCCCTGCGGGGGCGATGGCAGCCGAAGCAGCGGGGATGGCAGCAGGGTGACGGCCCTGCAGGTGCCAAACAGAGCCGTGGTGCCACGTGGCTGCCGGGCAGTGAAACCCAGCACGGCTGGTGCCATTGTTTGCTTGGACCCGGCGGCCAACAATAGCAGCGCTGTGCACTTTGTCCTCCGTCCTTCTTTGGCGTCGTTCCTCCTCCAATGGCCGAGCGCTGAGCCCAGCTCCAGGGCTGCCCACCCCCCTCCCTGCACTCAGCCCCGTTTTGGGGACCGTCCCCCAGCCCTGTGCCGGGGCTCCCGTCCCCCATACGCACATCGGCCGCCTTCTTCTCCGCCAACTCCAGCTTCTCCTGGGCGTCCTTCAGGGCCTCTGAGTATTTGTCCAGCTCGTCCTCCGTCCCCTTCAGCTTCTTCTGCATGGCGGCCAGCTCATCCTCCAGCTGCAAGCACCACAGCCGTCACCGCGCACCCCATGTGGCCGGGGGGGATTCACTCTTTGCCCCCACGCGCTCCTTCCCACCCCACACCACTCTCAGTCCTTCCCAACCACCCAGCTGGAAGGGGGGGCTGCCCCACAGCACGGCCCCAACCCCCCCGTCGGATGCGGACCCCCCCGCCTCAGCCCTGCTGCCGGTTCCCCTTCAGCCATCTCCCATCGCGCCCCACCTGCTTGCTCCTCTCCTCCGCCTGTTTCTGCTCTGCCTCCGCCTGCTCTGCCCTGTCCAGGGCGTTCTCCTTGTCCAGCTTCAGCATCTGCATCTTCTTCTTGATGGCCTCCATGGCTGCGGGGTTCGGGGCTCAGCGCAGCGGGGCGGAGGGCGGCACTCAATGGCCCTGCTGCCCGCTGCCGCCCGGTTTATGGGCGCGCTCCGCTCCGTGGGCGCAGGGCTTTGCCTTTCTTGGCCCTCCCCACCCCCCCCCCCATGCTCCCAAAAAGTCTCTGCTCGGGACCCATTGTCTGGCGTGGGGGGGTCCAGGCGGCTGCGGCCTTATTTGGGCTCCTGCAGGACAGCTGGGGCAGTTATAAAAAGCAGCAGCAGGTCGGCAGGTGGGGGTCCCGCATTGTCCTGGCTGCCCGCCCCCCCCTGCAAGGGGACACCCATATTGGCGGCACAGGGACACCGCGTCCCAGCCCAGCAGCTCCATGCGTACCAAAGCAGGGGGGCGATGGGGTCCTGGCCCCCCCTCCTGGCCCCCCTGGCTCGGCGGCCGCGGCTCACCTCACCTCCCCTCGTTCCCCAACACCCCCAGTGACCCCCCCGACACCCCGCTGCCCCCAGCCTCGTCCTTCCCCACGCCTGGGGGGCGGTGAGGCAAAGGGCGCTGAGCCCAAGGCTGTTTGAAGAGCAGGGGTTTGGCAGCAGCCCCCGGCCCGCATGGTTCAGCTCTGCAGGGGTGATAGGGGGGCAGCCGAGCCCTCGGGACCCCCCTGACCCCCCCCCAGCACCCTGCCATGGGGCAGGGGATGCTGCTGGCACCCAGGAGCTCTTTGTCCCAGCACGGGGGGGGGGAGGATTGCAGGAGTTCCTTGGCACGGATTTGGGGCAAGAGGCACAGGGCGCCATCGCTGCGCATCGGGGAACAGGTGGTGGGCGCTGAGCCCACGCGGGCGGCACGCGGCGCTGAGCGGCCCTGACGCTGTAAGAATATGTTTGATATTTAGTTGGTTTCCAATAAAACAACCTAATATCAAACATATCAGACAGAGGCAGGGCGGGACGGGCCCGGGGCTCAGCTCCCTGCAAGAGAAAGAGAAGGGGGAGAGAAGGGGCCGAGCGTGCCGGGGCTCCTTCCTCCCTGCAGCTCTGTACCCATGCGCCCCGGCTCGGCCTGCGCTGTGGGGCTGCTGCTCCGTGGGCTCCCGGTCCGTCTGCTGCAATGTGGGGCCGCTCCGTTTCCTCTGGGATCCTTTGGGATCTGGAGGACAAGAAGGAAGCGAACGGCAGCGGGGCTGGAACCGCAGCAGGGCTGGAACCGCAGCAGGGCAGGGCGGTCACGGTCCCACGGCACACGGCGCTACGGCGCAGGGCGGCTCCTGCACGGCTGCAGCCGAGGGACCCCAACTGCGGCTCCTTACCTGCCCGGCTCGGGGGTCTCGGCGGCGGCTCCGGCACCGTTGGCTGCTGTTTATAACCGCGCTCAGCCGCACTCGGTGGGGGGATGCGGCCGGCGAGAGCCCCGGCCCCACACGTGGCCTCGTTCCCATTAATTACCCATCGATGTCCCCCTGCCCCCTCCGCTCAATACGGGTCGATGGCCCCGCGCCGCTGCCGCTGCCCCCGGTCACACGCTGCTGTCATTAGCGGGGATGTCGATACGAGTTCGGCCACAGCCCGGCGCTCTCCCCGTGTCGGGGGCCGCGTGTGACCCTGCCCAAGGACGAGCTGCGTCCTGCGTCCCCCCCGCCGTCCCATCTCTCCCCTGTCTCTGGGTTTCAGGGGATCAAAGAGGGGTCTGCCCGCATCCCCTGCGCTGCCCCATATGTGGCTGCGGCTGCACAGAGGAAGGACCCCCATCTGGGACGGACATCGGGGCCGTCCTCAGCCGTTGCTGGAGGCGCACGACGTGTCGGTGCCGCGATGGGCTTCAGAAATCGGGTTGGGGGGACGCAAAGCCACCGCGGGGGGGATGTGGGGACAAGGACACGGCCCGGGCTGGAGAGCAGGGGGCGGCAGCGGGACGGCAGGGAGGGCGGCTCTGGGGACGGCAGGGACACACGTGGCAGCAGAGCCGGGATGTGGGGCTGTGACGTGATGCGAGGTGACAGCAGCTCTAATGAAGGGCTGCTGGCGGGGGGTGGCGGCCGCACCGCCCCCGGCCCTGTCAATAAGCTGAGCCGGGCAGCGCTGATGGGCCCCGGGGCCGGGAGACACCAAGGTCGGGCGCGGGCAGGGGCCGAGGGAGCGACCCGACGGCGGGCATCGCACGCAGCCCAGCGCAGCGCTGCGGGAACCGGGACGCGAAGCGCGAGAGGCGGCCGTGCTGCCACCTCCCGGCACCGGGATGAGGCGCACGCGGGGATCCGCGCCGCGGTTCGGGCCGGGCTGCCCTCTTTCCTGCCCCCTTTCCTGCCCCTCCGCCCCACAACCACGCAGTGCCCGGTGGGCGCAGCCCCGTCTGTTTCAACCGCTTTATTCCCAGCCGAGCGCCGTTTGATGCCCGGAGACGCCGCTGCCCGCCCGTCACAGCCGCTCCGCGTGGAACGCCTTCCCGCACCGCCGCAGCTCCCGCTGCTGCTGCCGCCGCTCGTCCTGCAGGAGCCGATCCAGAGCCGCCCGCCGCAGCTGTGGGGCCGGCAATGAAGCCCGGGGCAACCAAAGGAGGGGGAGGGGGCCCGGAGCCCCCGGGGGGCACCCACCGCCGTCAGCTCCTTGCCGGCGAGGCGCAGCTCCTCCTCCAGGCTCCAGCGCAGCGCCCCGAAGGACGTGGCCCAAATCTCCTGCCGCTGCTCCCCGGCTGCCAACCCCCAGCTGCAGGGACGCGGGGCGACAAGACAAACGTGGGGACCCCCACTGAGACCCCTTCACCCCCCCCCCCCCCCCGACCCCCTTCGTGCCTCTACCTCTGCACCAACTCCGCACAGGCCTCTATCTCCTTCGCCACCACCTGCAACCAAAGCCACGAGTTCGGGACGCCCAGCCTCACGGGGCGGCAGCTGCAGCCCCCTGCCCACCCCCACCTGCTCCCCATGCGGGGACGGGACCCGGCTGCTCCCTGCCATCACGGCCAGCGCCAGCAGCAGCGCAGACCCCACTGCTGTCCCGTCACCGCGGCGACGGCCCCATGGCAACCGCGGCACGGAGCCGGCAGCACGCAGCGGGCCGGGGGTAACTGGTTTTATTAAAGAGCAATTAAAAAGAGCGCAGAGGCCCGCGGCAGGAGCCCCTTCCCACCCCACGGGGCGCACGGTGCGGTGCCGCTGAGCTGCCGCTGAGAGCGGGGGAACGTCGTCCCCGGGCAGGGAGCCGCTCCTGCAGGGCCGCGTCCGCCCCAGGCGTCCCTGAACGCCGAACAACCCGCAGCCCAACGCGGCTCCTCGGAGCAGCACGAGGCCGACAAAGTATTTACACGCGGTCCCGGCGCCCACCGTCGGGGGGAAAGGAGGGCGTTCGACACCTCGGAAAGATCAGACGAGCGGCTCCGGCGCCCGAGATGCACACAGACAGGACGGACAGACAGCATCAGCCCCTGCTGGCCACCGAGGGAAACAGAGGCAGGGCGGAGAGCCGGCCGGGCTCCACGTCTTTTATAAATAAGTTACAGCTAACCAAAGTTTATTCACAGGGTTGGGGCCGCCGGCCTCGAGCACCTGCAGCGTCCCAGGCAGCCCAAAGGGGCACGGCTCCGCCAGAGGGGGGCTCTGCCAGCCCCACATCCCATGAGGGGGACGCCGAGGGCACGACTGCTTCGTCCCGGCACAAAACCCCCCGGGTTTGCTGTGCCCAGCAGGGGGCTCGTGGAAGGTCCCTGCTCACAGCGTGCTCTCCAGCGTGTTGTAGTTGTCCTTGAAGCTCTTCAGCTCCAGGAAGTGTTTGGCACGTTTGCTTTTCTGGCTGGAAGGCAGGTAGGTGACCTGGATGGTGGCAGGGTTGGAGACTTCGGGGGACAGAGTGAGGTCCTTGGCTGCCGACTGGTGCTGCCTCTGGCTGCTGCCTGCCCGTGCCTTGGTCCTGCAGGGAGAGCTGCGATCAGCACAGGGGGGGGATGCGGCCTCTCCCCCCCAGGAGCTGCTTGGCTGTGGGTTCTGCCCCCCACAGGGCAGATCTGCCCCCCAGATAGCAGCTCTCACATCTTGAAAACCAAAGATGCGTTCCTCTGTGCCGGGCGCAGGGGCGGCGCTGAGCCCATGGCACAAAGATGCAAGAAGGAACGCGGCTGCGAGCCGGTGACAAACCCCAAAACACATAAAGGGCAGGGAAAGCTGAAGGACAGCCCGACTCGGGCTCCTCGCACCCTGGGCTGCTTTTACGCCTCTGTTCACAGCACCAGGCCGGGTTGCTGCGGCCCAAACGCTCCACGCTGCACCCCAGCAGCAAGACTTACACGTTCGCCAGCTCGTTCAAAGCATCCTGGTACTTCAGGTATTCCGGCTTCCCAAAGACCTTCACGCAAACAGGAAAGAGGTTGAAAAGAGGCCCTGGGAGCAACGCGACAGCCCTGCCCAGGGCCGCAGACCAGGGGCAGCCCCACTCACCCCGGTGCCATAGCGGGCGTTCTCGTACCCGTCCAGCAAAGCGTCGATCAAGGCCTTGCGGATGCCTTTGAAGGAGCCGCTGGAGTTCCTCAGTTCCAGCAGATAGGCGCAGAAGTTCTTCCCTATTAAAGATTTCGGGTATCTGCCCTCTGCGTGAAAAGGGATTTCTGCAAAACGAAAACGGAGCAAAGCGGAAGGTTGGCGGCTCCTTAAACCTCCACTCCGCCGCCTCCAATTAACGATTAATTGCTGCCAATGCCAGAGCAGAGCCAGGGCGGCTTAACGACCGCTGCTCTCCAAGCACAGCCCAACCTCTGCCCAACGCAGCCCTGTTTCCTCCCTGCTCCCCCCCCCCCCTTCTCTGTCCCTCACCTGACGTCCGAATCGCATCCAGCGCCTTCATCCTGTACAAGTAATTATAGCAGCCTGGAGAAGAGAAAAACCAAACCGAGGGCTGAGCGGGGCACAGAAAAACCCCCCAAACTGGTGACTGGGCCCAGCAACAAGACAGCAGAACGCCGTGCTTATCGGGATTCACCTTGCGTCTCCAGCTGCAGGAGTCTGCTGTCGTCCTCAGCCAACAGCTGGGGCTCATACTTGATATCCTGCACCCTCGACAGCCTGATGTCGATCTCCTCCTTTAAATCCTGCAGAGCAGAAAAACGAGAGGGGAATTCAGAGCGGGATCACAGGGACGAGCGCAGCCCAGGCCTGGCGTGAAGCAGAGCGAAGCCGTTCCTTCTGCAGCCCTTTGTCCCCACGCCAGGGCGGCAGCTTCCAGCTGTGCCCCATTGGAGGCAGAGCCCTGCAGGAACCGACCTTGGGGGCGTGCTGCCCAACCGGCACGTGGGGGCCGCGCCGGGACTTCATGGCAAAGCGCATGATCTGCCGCTTCACAAAGATGAACAGCAGCACAAAGACCTGGGGGAGCAAAGCAGGGACGGTGCTCAGCACACAGAGCTGCGTCCAACGGGACCCCCCCAAAACTCAGCCCAAAGGGCGTCCCCCAAATCCCACCCCATGGGACCCCCCAAAACCTCCATCCAAACCCCCACCCCACTGCCATCTTCCAAACCCCCAGCCCATGGCTGTACCCCAAACCCTCACCCCACAGGAACCCCCCCAA